ATCTCTTGGGACAATGGCAAGAACATGTGGTATCTGCAGATGAGCAGCCTGAGACCCGAGAACACGGCCATGTTTTACTGTGCAATATACACAGTAAGGGAAGTCTCAGTGGGAGTCAGTCATAAACCTCCGAGTTGAAACATGTAGCACCTACAGTGGGTGCCCAAGGCACATAGGACAGAATCTACCACAGGGGGACATGTATTTTACCATTTTATTATTTTAGGTTAGCGTAATGACATTTCACACTGATGTTATGGGATAATAGAAACGGTAAAGAAACAACTTTTAAAATCCATACTACATAAAATGCCAATTAAAACCCAGAATAATCGATTCATTGTCTACCTAAAGCCGACAAAACACAAGAAATCAGGTGTAACAAAGTCACACGTTGCTGTTTGCTATTGTCCATTATTGAGACTGTGTATTTTGCATTTTGTAGCCTTTGTTCAACGTGGAGAAAATCTTTTTGTCTGTTTTATAATATAACATAAAACAACATAGTAATTTTAGTATGAAATTGCAAGAGTATTTATAAATACATCATCTAACAACTTTCACCAATAATATGTTTGACAAATAGACAAAAATATCCATCAGATGTATTACTACATACAAGTCACATTTCTGCCTACTTGCAGTGAAACATCACATAATACTGTCAGAAAAGTTTCTTAAAACTACACTCTTTAATAAGAATTTAATTCAATAAAATTCATGGTACTAGGTACCACAGCATTCACAGATTTCAATAATTATCGGTTTTTTTTTTCAGTTGATCATCACTTATGTCAAGCATCTTTTTCAAAGTGTGTTCTAAGCCAACGTAACCGTTAAATGTCACACATTAACATTTACTTTCTTTTCCATAAAAGGTAATTTACAAACATGTAAAATGTCTGTGTATAACAAGTTGAGATGATATTGAATCATATGTTTGTATCATTTTTATTGCCCCAAGTGTTTCAAAGCTGCAGATTTATTCAATGAAACAAATAGCATAAAAATTAAAAAAAATATTTCTGTATTCACTGTGATGGGATCATACACTGTGCTGACCTTGTGAAGAGCACCTTACACAACCCTCTAATAAAGTGTTGTTAACCTCACTTTAAAATAAGAGCAGCTTGAGGAGCCACTGCTCCTTTTCACACCAGGAACCCCCACCCTGACTGAGTCTTCATTTTTATTCTTTAATACCTTTTTCCTAACCCATACTTGTTCTCAACCCAATTATTTTTCCAACCCTTCTGGATTTTTCCCACCATTTATCTATCTGAAAATTTGCCAACTTTAAAAATCCAGCAATTCTATAACATTTGGAATGCTCATGTCCTCCCAAAGAATACCTTAGTTTCATAACTCCTATCAGCAGAGGCATGATGAACAATTGTGGGAATGGATTTTATGGGTGTGGGACAATAGTGGCAAAAACATACCCTGGATCATGCTGAGTGTGTGGGTGTGCATCCTTTGAAAATAGATTAAGACACTGACATTGTGGCATGAGCCTATAAGACCAAAACTCAGCAGTCTGAAGTGAGAATATTGCTGTGTGTTTAAGGCCAGCCTGTGATACCAAGTGAGTTCAACACCAGCCTGAAAACCTGTCTCAAAACCAGAGAGAGAGAGAGAGAGAGAGAGAGAGAGAGAGAGAGAGAGAGAGAGAGAGAAAGAGAGAGAGACTAAGAGGGGAAGGTTTGTGTCTGTGCTCACATTGAGTTCCCCACACTGCGTCTCTTGTGTGGTAACACATGGCTGTGTCCCCAGATCTGTGGCTGCTCATCTGTATATGCAGTGGGTCCTTGGCACTGACTCTGGAGATGGTGAATCAGCTCTTCACAAGGTCAGCACAGTGTATGATCCCATCACAGTGAATACCGAAATATTTTTTTTTAATTTTTATGCTATTTGTTTCATGGGAAATGTAGGCTGACACACAAAATGCCCTCAGGTGAGAGGGCAGGGCATCAGCAGCCATTCTGAGCTGCTCCCTACATCTCCTCCCTTATTATTATATATTTTTTAGGAATATGGCAGGCCCTGGGAGGACAGCACCTGTCTTGGGTCAAGGACTCCTCATATGAACCCAATCGAGCCCTACCTGTCGTGGGCCTGCAGGACAGCTGTTGGTCCTGGGCCTGTCTTAGGTGGCCGATTGGCACTACATATGTGTCCTAGTTGCCTGTCTCTGGCTGCCTGTCCAGTGCCTCAGGGCATTTGGGCCACAGTATCATGTGGGCCATTGGTACATGCTCTTTCCTGATAAGTTTGTTGTTCTGCCATTTCCAACCAGTGGTAATGTACCTGAATGGGCTTTGCCATAAATGTGTCAATCCTATTATTAACATTATTAATGAGCATCATGATCCACTGAAAAATACAGGGTCCTACAGTAAGCAGTAACAACAAGGTGATTTGGGGCCCCAAGAGGGGGGAAATGTAAGGGAAGAGACCCCCCACATGGAGGAAAAGGTGGTTTCTCCGAGGTGCTCTTTTTCTCTCTCTTTGAGACGCTTCCTTAGTTTATTCAGGGACTCTTTGAGGACTCCTGAGTGGTCAGCATAAAAACAACATTCTTACTTGAGGGCAGCACATAAGCCACCCTCCTTCATAAATATGAGGTGTAGCATTCTCCTATTTTGTAAGACTACTTCAGACAAGGATGTTAAGGACTTTTGTAGGGCCGTTACAGATGTTTCTATTTTTTTTTTAAATCTTGATCTACTGTTGACTGTAATTGAGCTAGATGCTCCGTTCCCAACACTAGAGCTGTAGTCCCTGTTCCTATTCCCATTGCAACTCCTAACCCTAGTAATACAGCTATGGTGAGTGTCGTGGGTTCATATATATATATCCAGTCTGGGATGCCTGGAGGTAGTAGTCTCCTGGTTGGAAGATTATGCAAGGATGAACCTGTACAAGAACACAAAAATCTGTAGATTGTTAAAAACAGTGGTTGCTATACAGGGTGAGAGGCCAAAATTGCAGGCCCAAGCCGTTTCTGGGGGTGGAATGAGGTAGTTATTTGGCTTGAACTCTGAATGAAGCTGGGCACAGAGTTGTGCTGCCAGTGCTGGTGGACAGCTAGAGTCCCTAAGACAAGTCCCTCTACCTGAGACATCAGGGAGAGTCAGCTTGTGGTGATTGCCCCAGTCAGAGTCAGATGAGCTAGAAGAACTGTTAAAGGTGAAATTGAGGGCCTTTCCTTCATAATATGGGGGAGGAGCAGCCAATCATAACCAAGAGGATTGGGTTGGGTATGATTTAAAACTGTATATGCCCCTTTAATCAAACTGAATAGGCTAGAATGTGAATATTGAGGGGCAGGTATGTGATCTACCTGGTGTTGGGGCACTTGAGAAACACTTATGATTGGGTGACTTACTGTGGTTTTTTGAACAACAGTAACAGGATCTGTATTGGACTGATTGTATTTTGGATTTGGATTATATTTTTGCTTTAGAGCAGGATTTGGGCCTATGGGTGTGGATGAAATCTGCAGGGGAACCTTTTATATGAGAATAAGATTTCCCCTGTGTTTGCCTGACTCATAGACTCGAAGTCCCCAGGTGCATCCTGTCAGCCAGCCAGGGTCTTCAGGAGTGGTGACAGTGATGTTTAGAATCTGACAGGGTCTTTGATTGGCTAGTGGGTAGTCATCTAGGCTACACCCTGGTGGCCCCATGTCAGTTTAAGGTGTTTATCGGGGAAGGCAGGTTGCCATCCTATCCTCCAGCCATAGCCTCCCAAGTTCTGGGATTACAGCCATGCATCACCACATCTGGGTTATTGCAATTTTAACTGTTACTCATCTCACTTTGCTAAGGTCGTTCATCTTGAATCAGTTCCACTCTCACCATTTTTACTGATGGCTCTGCCAACACTAAATGGTATCATAGTAACAGGTTCCCTTCAGCAAAGGATGCAAAGATTTTCTTCCACCAAAAGGCAGAATTATCCTAGTTTGATATCCTAGTACCATCATCCTAGTTTTACAAACGTCACGTGATGGATGAGAAAATCAGTTTTAAAAGAATTGTTGTGCATTGTAAATTCTTAAACTACCAACTTGCAATTTTCTCTGTATTCCGCTTGCATTGATATAAGAGCACTGATTCAAGCTTACTTGGATGTCTATTGGCAGATGACAAATATAAAATGTAACATTATGGGATTACCCAATTAATCTCAGCAAGGTTTTACAGAAAATTTTATAGTAAGTATGATGGAGAAATATACCAGTAAGCATTTAAGTATAGGAGATATAATTTTAATATATGAGATCTTTCTATGATAAAAGATGTGCAGGCTTCAGGTATGGAAGTCTCATTACAAAAAATATAAGTTTTTAGGGTCCTGGATGCAAGAGGGAAGGACAGAATGTCTGTATAGCATGAGGAGTCCCAGCATTTCCAGACAGCAGCAGAAGGTCCTGATTTTACAACCTCAAGAAAGGGCTGAAGTGCAGACACATGGGCTGCCTTAGACTCCCTCAGATCAGGATACCATGAAGATGTACAGAACTGACATTGTCCATGAAGATCACATGCAAGAATGAAATAGTAATTTTTCAAAAGTCAGTCATGGAGCAGAGCACAGGATTTCAACAAAAAGAAAAAAAAAAGTTTAGATATTTTTTGAATCACTTTTCTCTATCTCCAGTAAGAACTCCATAGACAAAGAGTTATCGCTGCCCCTCTACAAACCCTCCTATGGAAAGGCCAACATTAGCAAATGCAGTAGGCAGGTCAGAAATTATCCAGGCCAAAAATATTCTAATGTTACAGATTCCCACATATACTGTGCTCAAAATCAACAAATACTTCCCTGTGCTCAATTTCATTCCTGTGAAAGTGTGAAGACTACAGAAGATGTAGAAAACTATCTCAGTGTCTGGAGACAGCCCTGACCATCCTGTGAAAAATCAGTTTCCCTGGGAAGCACTAAAGCACCCTGCCCTGGGTCCCACCGTTATACTCAGAGGGCCTCCCCCATGCAAAGCAGCCCCAGGCTCAGGGTGAAAAGCCAGTTCTGGCTGAGCAGCTCCAGTCTCCTCCCACAGGAGCCTTCACTGATCATGGAGTTCTTGGCTCTGCTCCTCTGCCTGGTGGCAGCTCCCTACTGTGAGTGTCTGTATGGTTCAGGAAGAGGACTGGGCATAGGGAGTGCAGTGGGCTTGACTGAAGGTTATGCTTCTTGTCTTCAGGTGTCCTGTCCCAGGGGCAGCTGCAGGAGTCAGGACCTGGCCTGGTGAAGCCTTCAGAGACCCTGTCCCTCACTTGCACAGTCTCTGGATTGTCTTTAACTAGCAATGCTTTCAACTGGGTCCGTCAGGCTCCAGGAAAGGGGCTGGAGTGGATTGGTGTTATATGGAGCGGTGGAAGCACAGATTATAACCCAGCCCTTAAATCTCGAGTGGGCATCAGCAGGGACACTTCCAAGAGCCAAGTCTCACTCACACTGAGCAGCCTGAGCCCCGAGGACACGGCCATGTATTACTGTGCAACACACAGTGAGAGGACTTCAGTGTGAGCCTAGACAAAAACTTCCCTGCAGAGGGCTCCTGACAAGAGGGGGCGCTTGAGACACACTGAGCACTTGTGAGGCTCAGGACCAGGGGCAGGTTCCTGGGGCTGCTGTGACTTTGAGTCTGTGGTTTTTCCTTCCTTCTGTGACTTTGCTCAAGACACTCTGCAGTGTTGACTTCTAAATATTTAATTTTATTTCTTTTTATTAGTAAGTGTTTGCTTTGCAGGCCGTTTACAGGTATCTTGGGGGAATATATACAAGTGTCTAATACAACTTGATTCTCTTCTAAATCCCCTTCCTCTTCTCTTCTGTCAATGTAGCCTCTATGAGAAATATATTACAAAATTGCCATGATGCCCAGAGAGGAGGAGAGTTCATAGGAAAATCAGGGAAACATATCAAGATTGTTTGTGGGACAGAATCATAGATATCTCCCCATGAGAATACGGAATCTCCATCCTTAGGCACAGCAATGTGATGAGCATGTTGGAGCTCCAGAACCAGGTGTACCTGGAGAAGAACTCAGACAGCAAACGAGACAGAAGAGAGGACAGGGATATCCTGTGCAGCTTCCCCCACTACCACTGCAGGCGCTGCTCAGAGTCCCCAGAGCTTCAGGCACCAATATCTTGGTGAATCCATGAGGTACAACAAGAGTCACACTATTAGGACACACACATTGCTACAGGGAAAAAGCTGCATATCTGGAGAGATTCAGAGATTTCTGTATGCAAGCCTGAGCTTGGTCCTGAGGTCTAAAGAGGAAGGATCAGCATCTGCAGTCCACTAGGAGGTCACTGTATCTTTCTCAGAGACAACGTGTCTCAAGGACACAGGTGTCCCTCATAGAAATGAACCAGCTCACCAGATACCTGGTTTCTGGAAAACCATGTAATCAGACACTATATCACCAGAGACAGGGGGGGAATGCGGCCACCTGCCCTTCTGTTCCCTTCTGGGAATTAATTATACAGGTGGAACTTCAGATAATCCTGAGTGGACACAGCCCCTGCAATCTGTCCTCTGCTGCATGCCCTGCTATCATTTCTAGGAATATCTGCAACAAAAATATTACTGATTTCTAGGCATGGACATCTGCTTCAGTCACATCCCTTGCTCAGCCAGGATGTGACAACACATAGGTTCCATCTCTTGCAGATATGTTGGAGGCTACACTGACAGGCCCCAGCTCCAACATGTACAATAAGGGTCACCCTTGACCTTCTCATTGCTCATGAAGCCCTTACTATAATTGGATAATCTAGAGGTCCTTCTATGGGACACAGCAAGGAAGCTGCAGCTGCATTGCCCTGACCTGGAGGTTACCTTTTGGAGCCTTGATAATTTATATATGCATTGGCTACAGCCATGGAGTCCACTTCCCCATTATAGCAGGGAGATACGGAGTATCCATCATGAGGTCCAGGCTAGGGCCACATGCATGCGTATCCAGGGCCTCTGGCCCAGACCTGGATCTTATATCAGAGTGATCCTGTTCCGAGAGTTTCTGTGCATGATCCCTTTGGTTGTGTCCATGTATGCCTCTGAGAATGGAGACCTGAAGGGTGTGTCCTACCATCACTGCATCCACAGGCACAGGGCCCTAAAATGACTGGGTGGGCCATGTGTGATGATTCTCTTGGCTGCCCGTCCACAACACCTGCACATCCATTGTGTTCCAAGGACAAACACCTGCAGTGCAGACCTTGCCTACATCCTTCATTGCATCTAATCTGTGCTCAGGATAAAGCGAGTCTGAGGCTCAGGGTCAGGGCAATTGCTGGGTGCAGGTGTAGGGCAAGGGCAGAGATGACATCATCACACTGCAGACATCACCTGTGCTGCAGCCTCAAGGAAGGGGTGATGGGTCGGATAGTGAGCCAGTCTTGTTACCTACAGCTGCCCCTGACTGGGTATCACAGAGGGACCTAGAAGACAGGCAGGTCCTCACCTAGAGAATCAAGATTCCCGGGCAGGGTCGATTTCCAGCCTTTGCAGACATCTGTGTTGGAAGCTTCTGCTGAATTTTAACCTGTCTGTTGTGGATTCCTTGCACAGATAAGAGAGCTAGAAAGAGGATTCCTGCTTTGGGCCCATTCTAATGTGTTTTCCAGAATGAAATATATATATATATATATATATCCATACCCATTACAGAAATTTATAATGAACTTTTATACGACTATTAAAATATTCCCATTTTCTTTTTACATTTGAGCTCTTCAGAAATCAAAATGCATTTTATTGCAAAATACTCAGTTACATATTAAATGAGCCATCTTCCACCCTTAATTTATGTAATCAAAGAATAATGGAGGTGAAGAAGCATCAGCAGATCCATCCCCACTTCCTAAGCACCAAGACCGAGGACCATCCCTGCCCCTGGTTATCACCTGGATCATCTCTGGAATCCACTAGGTATTTCACTCAGATTTTGCTCCTGTTGTTTATGTGGGAATATCTGTCAATGTTTTGATTCTTTGTGCTTGAAATGCAACATGAACAGAACACAGGCAATAAAAGCCACAACTGTGATATACACTTTCCTAAGCACAATGACCAAACCTTACCTGAACTTATAAGGTTTTAGGACAGCCTGGGACCTCAGTAACTCTTAAGTGTATGCATGACTATGACAATTTTCTCATCTTTCTGTGAGAATACATATCATTCTTCCTACAAATCTATCAGCTCCGTGAAATTCAGAATGAGATAATAATTCTGGGTGAAAGAGGTAGATGTGTCCAGTACCAAAGGTCAAAACCAACCCCCACCCAGAAAGGAATATCCTTTCCTAATTTTGGGTGTCGGAGTCAGTGTTACCCTTTTTGTACACAGAACAGCTCCATCTCTTGTCTAGATCCTGTGTGGAGGCCCATGTGCAGCCTGCTGATCTATTAGTTCTTACTCCCACTGACTCCACTGTTTCCTATGTTCAGGGCTACCTCCTTATTATTGGATTTGGGGAGGGCAGGAAAATGGGTTATTAAAACAAATTGCGTTATGTACATGTGCTAACTACCCATAATAAATTCATTCAGCATGCTATGCAGATATGTACTAATAAAAACTAAACATCTAAAATCAAAATAAGAATCTGCAACAGACGGAGATGTGCTGGATTAAAGTCTCTGTTCATGAAATGATATGGATAAAAGAGTTTCAAGAACATGGATTCACATCTCTCAGTGACTGTAGAGGGTGCCAGGCTGAAATGCAGAGACCCATCCCATTCACAAATTTGAATCATTAACACAGAAGAATATTTGTCTGGTTTGGTGAAGTTCCCAGATCTGTCTCCAAAGTAGACAAATAGCACTCATGGTAGTGCTCATGATATTGGATGCTTGTGTCTCCCTGCTGAAGAAGTCACATACAGAGTGACTCCTGCATCCAGCAGTTGTGCCTCTTCACACTGGAGGCCAAAATATGTCGTCCCCATGCTTAGGGTTTCCCGTGAGGAAGGATTGAGCTGGGCTCTGCTCTCCATCATGACTCACTCCTCAGGAATTCTCAGCCCCAATTTCCTGACTCAGGGATGAATTGATAAAGATGTCAGATCACTGAAGAAATCTTTAAGGAGATCTAATTTAAAGCACTAGCTGATTCTATCTTTCTTGCCGTCCTTAGGTAATGTGCAGTGCTTGTTATGGAATTCGGTAGCAAGGAATCATGGGGATCCTTGCTGCAGCTTTCTGGAAAGGCTTTTAATGCATCAATGGTAAGAAATAACTGCACCCCTCTGGTTGAGTGAGAGTCCACTGAAAACCAGTGGGTCTCCAATTACAGCTGAAACCTCTAACTTGCAGACTCTGTGCTCTGATCGGAGTTTCATATGCAGCATTGTTCTCAACCATGCAGGGAGTGGACAGTTCCAGATGTCTTCACAGCAATGCACCCTACTACAGGAAAAATGAATCAGTAAAAAATTAAGTTTTATCATCAAGGATATCAATTACACTATATACTTGTAAACATCTACCATGAGGAAGAAAAAAGGTGTAAGTAACACTGAGGTGAAAAAATATGCATTTTCATATAAAACCATGAACATGCATATTTATGATTTCATTTCATGTGCACAAAGATGAATGCAATCAGACCAGTGTCTGAAATTCTACAAAACTTAAAATTTTACATGTGAGACAATTTTTGCTCATTTAAATGAGATCCAGCATTGTACTTGCTGGCCAGAAAACCTTGCAATATATCAATTACCAAATGAAAAAAAGGAGCATGGAGAATTCAAAGTGATTTAATCTGGGACCCTGAAATGAAGGTGTATATATGTACCCAGAATGTGAATTGTTGTTGTGTGCTATTCACATGAATCTATGCAAATGTGTTGTGTGTGCCTAACAGTTCAGTCACCCTGGTTCCTGTGTCCTGGTTTTCATAGTCATAAAGCCATCTTTCACCTGCAGTGACATCCATTTCCCTGACCATCTCTTCCACTACATTTCCTATCTTGGTCTAGGAGGTTCTGGGCTTGAGTAACAGACTTCAGGATATCATTTAGTTCTTAAAGGGCATATCCAATGTCCCCCACACAGAGACAAACCCAAAAATTTGTCCATCCTCTGTCTCCTTCTGACCTTCACACACCAGAGCACAACCCGCATAAATGCTTCAAGAGCTAACAGATAAATTCAAATTATCCATTGGTTTCATTTCTTTTTTACCCCAATATTTAAGATACTCTCAGAGATTTTGTAAAGTTGATGTTCAAAATCCTGGAACAATGTCAGCTCCTTCTCTTTCTGGTGCTTAATCTCAGATGTGTGCTCTGAAATATTCAGAGAGGAGGATGTGGAGATTTTGCCTCTGATCTCAAGACTCATCCTGTTCTCACACTGTCTTGTCTCAGGTGCTGCTGCAAGAGACCAGAACTTGACCCATGAAGCCCTCTCAGTGCCTGTTTCTCAGCCTCACATTCTCTGGTTAGTGGGACATTGCCCCTGGAGTTGGTTCCTTCAGCCCCCAGCAGAAAACTGAGTGGATGT